TATATATATATATATATATATATATATATATATATATATATATATATTTAGACCGTAATGTATGCAGAACAAAATGAAGACAAACATACTTGCCGGTATTTATCAGTCTAAACTAAAATGAAACAAACAACGCCAACAAAACAATGCTTAACTCTAGTCATTCTCCCATACCATGTGCATATGCATGCTAAGTGTATTTATATATGTGTAGATACAAACATGGGCATATGCGTGTATATGTGTATGTGTGTGTGTGTGTATGTGTATGTGTATGGATATATCGATAATAATGGTAGTAGTAGATATTCTCGCCTTGTTTAGAGGTTTTAAAGCTTCCTGCCTACATAAACATAATCTAAGCTGTTATCCGACTACTCTTTTAGATTGCTGTTGTTCTTATTATATTTGTTGCTTTTGTCTTTAATATAAAAAATATGCAAACACAAATGTAAGTATAAGTGTTTGCATTGGAGTCCGTTTTGATTTTATTGTATGAGTGTGTTAACTACTATACTCCAACTTGGGGATACTTATCACTCTACTATCTGTTTGGTTACAAACAAATATACACACATACACATACACACACACACACACACACATGAAGACATACTTACATATTTTTCGGTTTATAAAGCTTTTTGTATATCATCTTGTACATACTCTTGAGAGTAAACATTCGGCCATACATGCATACATACATACATACATACATACATACATACATACATACATACATACATATGAGAACCCATCACATGTGTGCGCGATATCTGTAATCTGTAAAACAAACCGAGGAATATACATAAAAACAAACAACAACAACAATAAAAGAATATAAATAAAATAAAAGGAATTTTGCGGATTGTTGTTATTATTGTTATTATAATTCCTTGAAGTGGATATCATCACAAATACATATGCATCATTCGCTTCTCTGTCTCTCTCTCTCTCTCTCTCTCTCTCTCTCTCTCTAGATGCTCACAACATGGAAACAGTCCACCAAAAACCTAAATAATTCTAGTGTGATGATGGCGATGACGATGTTTGATGATGGAAAAAACACGAGCAAAACTATGTGTAGGAATAATGATTGCATATGAAAATGTTTGCTGTCTTGTCTTTACTTCATTTTTATATTAACATGACGATCGTATTTTTCAGATACATATTCCATTTCATTTTTCGTCGTTTCTTTTTTTTTTTTTTTTTTGATTGTTTGTTTAATATTTAAGGAATAAAAAAAAAAAAGATTTTTCTTTTTTTTTTCGAAAATCCCCAAAACACATTGATATAGATAGAAGAAGAACGAAGACGAATTTTAGTAAAAAGGATGTAAGAATTATTTTTTTAGATCAACGTTGGTCAATCAATATACGCGAATAATTCTTGCGAAATCTAGGAAAGATCGAGGAGTTTAGAAGAGAAAATTGTAATCAGACATAAGACATAAGAAATTTATTTATTTGTAAACAGCTATTGGGAAACTAAAAGAAAAAACAATCTTTGGGAATCGAAGTCTAACACGTTCGTTCTCCAGTGTAACTTCCGCGTTTAGGTAAAAGTGTACACGGACACGTTGCATGTGTTGTCATAATATAAGTTTTGATATGCTGATCTGGAAGGATGGTCATCTAATGCTGTTTATGGTCGGACGAGACCCTTCTTTTAATTGTGGTTTTAATTGATTTTGCAAAAAGCACTAAGCAAGTTGCGAATGAATATTTGCTGTGAATTTCAGGTTAGTTCAGGGATTTGCTATGGGCAGACAACCGCCCATTTTCATACTTAGCTAAAGGCCGTTAATTAAGACAGAGGGAGAGGAAGCTTTCTAATATAAAACTTACGAGTGAAAACATTGATGTGGGACACGACCCGTCGTTATTTACTACTACTATTTGTATATAATGAATTTTTTATGAAGTTATTGTAGGGGAATTGGTTATAAGAGTTAGACCAATGCGAATGATTTTCAGTAGCTTTCGCCCGTGGGCCAGAACATGTCGTTTTACCAATTTCATCAAAGTATTTTTGAAATTGCGAATTGATTGAGCAGAAAAAACCAGCAACGCGACGCGGACAGACAAGCTCTATAAAATAAATGGTGCGTCGGACTCAAGTCTTTTTATGTGTTGCAGGGTGTTGCGCAAAAATTGAATATACCCTACAAGTACCCAAGTAGTGCAATGTATAATAAGCGGGCAGGTACGCGATCAGACGAAGCCATCAAGAATGTATACGAACAACAATTACAACATAAAAATTAAACTTTTAATTCCCTATCCTTGAGTAGTGGCTAAAATTATTAAGTTTTTCGAAATTAATAGCGATCATGCATTCATAACTTCATTCTAAAGCACGTCTAATTTGCAGGACATGCTTTTAATAAAAAAAAAAAAAAAAACTTTATTTCTTCTAAACGAAATCCTCTTTTATTACTTTTCTCTGCAGGTGATTGTTCCGATACTACAGAAGATATGACGGTAGATAGCAGAGGTATGTATGTATGGTCTATGAAATATTGATTTTTATATTAAATTTAATTTTAATAAGCAAGATATGAAAAATATGAGAAAAATATATGATAGCTTTGTATGTTTTTCAAAAGATTAGTTGCTTTGTCACATGAGTAACCCTTCGAAAAATTACAGTTATTCACTTTACGGGCTTATCAAAGTCAAACACTTACCACAAACATCGTTGACCCTTCAGCTAATCCTTATAATGAAAACACTTTATTTTGCTCTTCATCTTTCTCTTCTTTCATCTCTCTCTCTCTCTCTCTCTAAAAATGTTTTACTTTTATTATTAAATAAATTTAATATTAATATGAATTTAAAAGAGTTGATGACATCGCTCTTAGTTCGTTTTTTTTCTTTTTCTTTATCTTTTTGTAGGGATGGTGTCATTGATTGTAGGATTTTCACCAGCATTACGTTGCCAATAAAAATTTTTAATCTTTTGCTCTAACCGTACACAAATTTTCACATTCATCTTGAACTAAACGCCTGGGAATGTATGATTTGGTGGAATAGTTGTTTCTCTCTTTCGCCCCTTTATTGCACTTTTTTCTGTCTAGCATTGAAATATTTGTGCGACTTATCTTGAAACACCAGTTAATTTGACCATCCACAGTGATTTGTGGATTTATCTTTTATTCATCCCTGACTCTCGTTCTTTCTCTCTCTCTCTCTATTTCTGCACACTATTAAATAGGATGATAAGGGTTAATATCAAGCGGTTTTTTTTTTTTTTTTTTTTTGGTTGAGTTCGTTAAAACTCATTTCCGTCGACTATTTTCTGTTTTTAATGATATTCATATAAACATACATATATGAATATATTTGTGTCATTGCGATATGATGCCGTTCAGAGTGATACCATAGATTATTGTTGATATGTAATGGTATTATCTTTACATAAGTTTAAGGATTAAAAGTTGATTTTGAAATAAAGGGAAAAAAATGTGAGAATAAATTTATGAAAAGTACACCCTTAAGTTCATCATACATTCGCAGAATTATAATAATAATAATCTTCTGACACATTAAAGGTAAAGGCATATAATGTTGTTAATGTTATCCGCAGCATGTTATAATACGAAAATTGGTAAAGCCGTTGATAGCCTCACTCATGTAGATTCTTTCGCGGCGAAGAATCGCAAAAAAAATTGTAAAGAGATACGTAAAACTTAAACAAAGTAGAACAGTTCAGTTGAACTTGAATGATTCAAGTGCAGCATTTATCACTTCCTAGCTATTTAAGTTGTAGGGATACATTGTCCGATTAAATCAGTGTTATCAAGGAAAGGTGTGATAATGGCGAAGTAACGAATTAGGTTTGACTGATGAAATGACATTCTTTAAGATGATTTTTACTGCGCACTTCTTCGTGAATAACGCTAGTAGTGATAATAGAGAATGTTTTTACGTTTAAACTGATTTTCCCAATTTTAGATTTACCGTCCATCCATGTGATAACATAGCTAACCTTCCACATTGAAAAAAATAGGGAAAAAAAAGACGAGGCGTAAATTCATTTAATGAAACATAACATTGAATATATGCGTTTCTCAGGTACTTATAACAAGAAGATTATTGATAATCGAAGAGAAATTTTTCACTCAATAGAGAGAAAAACGCGTACTTTATCGAGTGCTGCAAACTCACTACTCGATGCATCGACTCGATAAACAGGGACCATAACCCTGAACGCAAAAAATACAGCCGAGATTAATCGATACCGACAACCGCAAACCGCCCGTATGAAGTGAACCTTTTCCAAGCGCCAAGCTTACTCTCAAGCTTGCAAGGGTTCAAGGGTTCGCGTAAGCTCTACTTTGCCTTACTTATTCGGTTTTCGTTATTATCTATTGTATACTCTCGTCCATTCACCGCGGCGGTTTTTACTTTATTAAAAGATTCGCGCGGATCGAAAATCCTGTCTCTCCCCCCATATCTATTATTCCGTTTCGGAAGTTCATGTTTTGAAAAACTTTGAAATTTAACGCAAAAGTTTATTTAAACTCTCAGCTCCGCCATTTAGAAGTTATTTATAAACTCTTATTATCTATCTAGTATGGATTGCTCGATATTTATTTTTCCTTCTTCTTTTTATACATATAAATATTTTTATAATTTGAACAAGTTTTTTGTTTTTTTTTTTTTTTTTTTTTTTTTTTTTTTTTTTGATTTCTTAGGAACCTATCGTTAAAACTAATCTCGCATATTCGTCTTTTATTTTTTTTTATACATTTTCGACTTGGAGGCAACAACCTTAAGATCTGTCATTTGGCATATTTAAGCGGTATAAAAGCGGTACACAAATATTGTCAAAATGTCAATTAATTTTTCTATGTTTCTCTCTATACAACACGACAGTCATCACAATAACCAATTATGTTTGATCAAGTATGGTCACGCAGCTAGCGAGGGCACCGCATATTCCCTCCGCATATACGTATGTATGGATGTGTTTGAACGCTTGTATGTTAACATTTAAAGTTTACAAATGAATCACAATTACTTATGTATACGATCCGCATATACATTTGCGCGGATGTCTAAATGCTAGACGCTGCTTATTTGAACAAATCAACAACTTTTCTATATTACGATCGTTATCTATTGAAATATAAACACAATTGTCCTTATATGGCAAGGTATAAAAAATTATAATATATGTACAAAAGTTTGTTTTGTTTTTCTCTGCCTCAAAAATAAGCTTTAAATTAGTAAATGTGATGACAACTTTTTGCTGAAAAACATTTTGAACATTTTGTCCTTGATTTAAAATACGTTCCAAGTTGGATTTTCAAGCTAAGAAATCTATAAGACGAAACGTTCTTTTAAATTTTTTACATACACAATTTGGAAAAAAAATAACCTGTAATTTTAGCTGAGTAACATCAGCGCCATTCTCGCGAGTAGATTTGTAACTCTAAGTGCGTCTTACTTTACCATTTTTTTAAATTTCTTTAAAGTAACAGTCTCTAGTGAAACATAGATGTTTCGATAAGTTAACTTAAACACTTTTTATTAATAAAAGAGTGTCCCTTTTTGGTCAACAATGGGACTTTTCTGGTGGCCCAAGAATCCATATCTTTTAAAACTCCCGCTTACTTCGTTAGCTATAGGTTAAATGATTTCTTTGTTTAATTCAAATTTTGATCAGTTACTGTGTGTGCCGCAGAGCCTGTTATATTAATGGGACCTCGTAGCAATGGCTACGGTGTTGCCGTTTTTCAATATATTTCAAAGCAATTCTTTGTAGATAGTTAAATATACATCCACCAACCTCTACTACAGAAAAATGAAAAAAAAAAAACTTTTTTGTTTATTACAATGACTTTACCGCCTAACGTTTAAAAGTAAAAGTAACAAATTTCCGATTACTTTCTAAAGAAACAAAGCAATTTGCTAAGTTTTTATAACAACTGAACTTTTTAATTAATTTATAATAATAACTAAATAATAACGAAATAAATAAAAATGGAAGTATGTTTTCCTGCTAGAGACGAAACATAAATACATATATAAATGTGAACGATAAGTTTTGGAAAAAAATGGAAACGTTTATCATATTTTCGGACAAGAGAAAATTGGTAGGCATATTCCGTACAACACAAAATTGAAATGTATATCACAAATTCGATTGTCTTAAATTTGGAAATGCATTACATAACTATTATGTTGAAGGAAAAGTTCCGTCATATTTTAAATAAGACATGAAGATACACATACACATCCTCAGCAACATGTGTATTCCTCAGTGGTCGAATGGTGCATGTCTAGTTACTTTGCAATTGCAAAGTGATTAGATGTGGGTAGCACGCGAACAAATAGCGCAAAAAGTCATTGCTACCCAGATCGACCATCTGTTTTGAGACTGCAATTTTGGAAAGGAATTTTGCAAACCATCTTTGGCAGAACCAAAAATTTCCAATTGTATTTGCCAACGTCGTACATAAGTTTTACACAAATAACTCAATGTCCGACTCCCACACCGAATGCAATGCACTTAACTGCACTTTATACTATGCCGGCTTATTCACTCTGCGTTAGTCAATCAACTAATGTACGATATTAAAAGTAGTCCTCTTATATCGTACGAGAGGTTCGCTATATAATAAGAGTCCACAGGACGCATTCGACCTCGATTGCCTCGATCTGAAAAGTAACATATATTACCTACAACGGAACATTCTTGCCAACCTATTATTTCCTTAAGTAGATTCCGTAAGTAAAATTATTCTAATTGAATAAAAGCTTAGCGATTAGAAAAAAAAAAAAAAAATTAAAATGTAAATTATATTATCGGACCAGATGAACATGTTTTGCAACATCGAGCTTTTAAATCTATGCTAAATAAAATCTTTATAATTTCTTTACATACTTTCGAACAAGCAAGAAATTTAACAACCTATTCGCCTGAGTAGCCGAAGGCGAGGAATCTCGACTAGCAACTCAATGGTCGTGGGTTCAGATCTCAAGTGCGGTAGAGTTTTTAATAAAGACCGATAGCCTTAGATGCTAGTGCTTATAAGAGTTTAGTCTTAGAATTTATTTCTCTGACGAAATTAATAATAATAATAATAATAATAATAATAATAAAAACCTAAACTCTGTTTTTGAATTACATATATTTCGAAGTATATGAAATATAATTCAAAATATAAATGGATTCGTACGACGTAGTTTAGGATATAAAAAAATTTCTAAAGTATGCTACGCTGGAAATAATGGGCAATCAGATCAAATTAACTGAATGATTGCAGTAATTGATGCATTTTAACTAATCAAAAAACATTTTTCATAAATAAATAAATAAATAAATTTTTCCATAGCCTAAGCTTATTTTCAATTTTATATTGATAACAATCGTTAATTTAAAAAAAAAAAACAAATTAATTAATCCATTTTAATAATTTAACGGTATAATGAACACTGCAACCTAGTTTAACATATGCCAACATTGGCATTTCCAACGCTGACCGC